GAAAGAGCCAGTAGATCCTACAAATCAGGGTACTGAAGTTCAGAACAGGGGCACAGAACAGATACAGAATACTGCTGATCCGCCAGGCAAAGGTACAACAGGGAATCTGCAAGACCAGAATGAGGCTCAAAGGAAAACTCGTAACAACAAGTCTCAAGGAAAAATTAGTAAGAAGAAAAGGAATGCAATTAAAAGAAGACAGGAAGCTGAAGCTGCTAGGCTGGGTATAAAGGAAGGCACTACTCACAAATCTCATCCTCAAGGGCAAACTCATAAAAGTGCAGACAATGATGAGTACAATGTTGTTCCATCTGAGGATGAGTTTGACCAGGACACTCAATCCTTGGGGGAAAATAATAATGAGGAAGATGACACTAGCATTCACCTAATCAAAGCATTTGGATCCACTCTACAACAAGAAGAACTCCAAGAGGTCACTGATCAACAGGGTCTGTCTCCTAGGGGCAGATTAAACTCCAAACAGGCCAACAACAACACATCTGCTAACTCTAGTAGACCCAATACCAGGTCCAGGAGTAGAGGTTTTTAATGATTACAACTCTTTGTTGGAATGCCCGGAGTATTAACACTCAGGCTCATTGGAAAGAGTTCAAACTTTCAAGAAATTGCACAATATATCCATGATTGCAATCTGGAACCTTTTGCAGATCAAACTTATATAAACAGCTACAGAATCCAGCTTGGTATGGATCAGGCCTGTTCTAACCAAAATGGGAAATTTTGGATTTTCCGGAATGTTGATATTCAATGTCAAATTCTAGAAAAGGAGGACCAACATATTACTTGTGAGCTGAATCATGCAGAATGCAAAGAGAAATATATGATCTCATTCATTTATGCAAAATGTAAGGACCATCTCAGAAGGCCCCTTTGGGATAAACTCATGCAACTTTCAGATAAGGACATTCCTTGGTGTACTATTGGAGACTTCAATGTGATCACTTCTACTGAAGAAAAGCAAGGAGGGGTTTCCTAGAACATGAACAAAAGCTTTGATTTCCTTAGTGCTATAGAAGCCTGTGGTTTAATGGATTTGGGGTACAGTGGGCATCATTTTACCTGGTGCAACCAAAGAGCTACCGAAGCCAGGGTTTGGAAGAGATTGGATAGGGCTATGACTAAAGATAAATGGCTCGAACACATGGCTCAGACCACTATAACTCATTTACCTGCAGTGGGGTCTAATCACAGCCCTTTGCTGATGGAAAATGTTGGTAGAGAAGGCCAGCAGACTAAATATTTTAAATTTTTGCATTGTTGGGTTGAAAATGAAAACTTCATGCACACTGTTAAGGAATGTTGGGAAAGAGAAGTACAGGGCAACCCAATGTGGAAACTTCACCAAAAAATGAAGAGACTTGCTTCAACCCTTAGTGAATGGTCAAGACGAGAGTTCGGGGATATTTTTGCAGTTGTTAAAGAGTTTGAAGAACAGGTGAGACAGGCTGAAGAACAGGTGATGATGAACAATACAGAAGCCAATAGAGCTAAGCTTCATCACTGTAATGCTAATCATATAAAATACCTTAAATTGGAATCCTCCATACTTAAACACAAGACTTAGCTCCAATGGTTTAAGGATGGGGATGCCAATTCAAAGTACTTTGATTCTATCATGAGAGGAAGAAGAAGAAGGCTTTTTATCAATAAAATCAATATTAATGACAATGAATGGATTCAGGGTGATGAAAATATTGCCAAGGCTGCCTGTGTTTATTTCCAAGAGACCTTTACAGGACATGAGAATAGAAATGCAGAGAATATTCTTCAGTGTATTACAAGAATGGTTACAGAGGAACAGAACCAGAACTTAAAGGCTCTCCCTACCAAAGAAGAATCGAAACAAGTTGTCTATTCTATGAATCCTAATTCTGCTCCTGGTCCGGATGGTTTTGGAGGGAAGTTTTACCAAGCATGTTGGGACATTATCCAAGATGAGCTACTGGAAGCAGTACTTGCCTATTTCAGTGGTCACATAATGCCTAAGTTCATGTCTCACTCTTGCTTAGTGGTACTTCCTAAGGTGGAGCATCCTAATAGGTTCAATGAATTCAGACCTATTAGTCTCACCAATTTCACCAGTAAAATTATTTCCAAAATTCTGTGTCTCAGATTGGCTCCCATTTTGCCTCACCTCATCTCGGAGAATCAATCAGGTTTTGTTAGAGGAAGGAGCATCACTGACAACATTATGCTGGCTCAAGAGATTATTCATAACATTAAAAAACCTAAGGAAGGTGATAATGTGGTAATCAAGCTCGACATGGCCAAGGCCTATGATAGTGTGTCCTGGTCTTTCACTTGTTTAGTGTTGAGTGCTATGGGCTTTGGTGAGGTCTTTATTGACTTGGTTTGGAGAACTATGAGCAACAACTGGTACTCAGTCATTGTCAATGGTACTAGACATGGATTCTTTCACTCCACAAGAGGCCTCAAACAAGGTGACCCCCTTTCTCCAGCCCTATTTATTTTAAGAGTTGAAGTGCTGTCAAGAATGCTCAATCTGTTACACCATGATCCTAATTATAAAGGCTTCCAGATGGAAATTAGAGGTCCTCAGATAAATCACTTATGTTTTGCAGATTATGTTATTATCTTTACTTCCGGGACTAGGACATCCTTGCAATTGATTATGAAGACTTTGGGAACTTATGAAGCTGTTTCTGATCAGCTTATTAACAAATCCAAAAGTCATTTCATGATCCCTGCTAACACCCCACAAGATATTATCTCCATAATTCAAGAAATCACTGGTTTTTCTCAGAAAACTAGTCCCATCTCTTATTTGGGATGCCCATTGTATATAGGGGGTTAGAGGATTATCTACTACTCTGAGTTAGTGGCAAAAGTGGTTAAGAAAATAAGTGGATAGCATTCTAAAATCCTTAGCTTTGGGGGCAAAGTCACTTTAGTCAAACATGTCCTTCAATCTATACCTATACGCACCATGGCAGCTATTTCTCCCCTAAAACCACTCTTAACTACATTAAGAGGGTGACAGCTGACTTCTTTTTGGGGGTGGAAAAAGACAGAAAGAAATACCACTGGGCCTCATGGGAAAATCTCAGCTTTCCTTATGATGAAGGGGGCATTGGAGTACGAAACCTTGAAGATGTATGTACCTCAATGCAATACAAACAATGGTGGAATTTCAGAGCCAACAATTCCTTATGGGGTCAATTCTTGAGAGTAAAATATTGTCAAAGAGCTAATCCAGTGGCAAATAAATGGGACACAGGACAATCTTTGGTCTGGAAATACTTGATGAAAAACAAGACCAGTATTGAACCCTACATCACCTGGAGGATCAACTCTGGAACCTTGAAACGACCCCAAAAATGCCCGTAAATGTGCTTCGGAAACACCTATAATTGTAATTTAAATATATCTTAAAATCTGTGCATGATTTCGGAAATTTGACTTCATATTATTATTTAGGGGGTCAAATTGAGTGGGAAATGGGTCTAACCCGAATTTTAGAGTAATCGTATCAAAATTCAAAAATCGCAAAAAATGCAATTTGGAGTGTCAACTTTGAAGGGGCATATCTCTTATCACAAAAGGAACTGGAAGGGCCACACACTATTAAATTAAAGCTCCCTGAGTTAGCTTTCCAACACACTTGGTTTCACCTCATTCTGAGTTAGGATGAGGGAGTTATGACCATTTTCGTAAAACCTGTCTGTGCAGAGTTGCAATTTCCAGAGAGCTTTTTTTTTAGCGGGTTGGGGACATTTTTTATAAATGTCCCATATTTAGTAATTTTTTTTAACTTCAAAAACACTCTCTAAGCCCTCTCCAAAATTCCACCAAGATCCTCAACCAAATTATAACATCTCAAGCTCTAATTCCGGATTCAAGACTCAATCTCAAGCTTCAATTCTCCATTCCAATCTTCATCAAGGATTCTCCAAAAGTTGAGGTATGTGGGTTTGATTGTGGAAACATTTCTTTTCACAAGTTCCAACCATTTATCCTCTATTTTTACTTCAAGTTTATGGGTCATTATGATTATTTATGAACTCTTGAAGTATGGAATTACTACTACACACCATATTATGGTATATTTTGCATATTATCATGAAATGGAATTATTATGTGATGTTTATGGTTTTCATGCTTCCATGATCAAATTATGAATGTTGATATATATATGTATGTTGTTGGTGGGCTGATTTATATGGATTTTGGAATTGGTTGGACTTAGTACTGTTGAAATACATGATTTTATTTACATGAACTATAGCCCACCATGTGTTTGATAAAATGCCCACTTATAGAATTCTTAGGAAATGGAAGGTCCAAGGTACGTCCTATGAGTCGGATGGTCATATAATCATTGAAATGATGATGAAATGGATACATGTATATGATTTTCTCTATATAAGTGTGGTGAGTCGACTAAGCCTAGCTCGGGGGGTTGTAGGCCCGGGTAACCGTATCGAGGGGTTGGTACCTTGGTTGCCTAGTACGGGGGGTAGTAGGCCCGTATAACCGTATCGAGGGGTTGGTACCTTGGTTGCCTAGTACGGGGGGTAGTAGGCCCGTATAACCGTATCGAGGGGTTGGTACCTTGGTTGCCTAGTACGGGGGGTAGTAGGCCCGTATAACCATATCGAGGGGTTTGTACCTTGGTCCCTAGCTCGGGGGGTGGTAGGCCCGGGTAACCACATTGAGGGGTTTGTACCTCTTTCGCCTCTCCAAGGGGGTGGTAGGCCTTGGAAATACTATATTGATGGTCACTCACCACACTTGTGCTACGTCCCACTAAATATGATTTTTATGTAAGCGTCATTATATATATCATTTCATTAATGTGCTATCTATCGGGTATGATTATGCATTTTTTTCCTATGATGTCCATCTATTGTAGCATTGCATTGCATCCCATATACTTAGTACATTCAAACGTACTAACGCATACTCTATGCCTACATGATGTCACCATGTAGGGACCGGAGCACCGCTTCACCATCTTCCTCCGCGTGGCTAATACGATTTTCTATCAAGGTTATTGGTGAGTCCTCCATTCCGGGGACGTTGCTCATGATCTTTTGCTATGTATAAGACTTTTTCTTTTTAGTTATGTTTTGTCTATGAGGGTGAGCCCGGTAGTTTGTCTTGGCCCCCGCTAAGTACTCATGTTTAGAGGTGGTGTTGGACAAGTTGTGTATTATGCTTGAGCTTGACTCATCTATGGTATTTATGAATCATTCCTTTATTGTTTCTCTTGCTCCCTTAGTCCCGATTTCCCCCTTGATTATACTTATCGCTTATGGTCATTTTAATTGCTTCCGCGACCAAGGATGTGTAATGATACTCTATGAGGCTTGTTTGGGGTTCCTTCGGGTTCCCCATTCGCCGGTCACGTCTAGGCCCTAGGCTTTGGTCGTGACAAACTTGGTATCAGAGCACTAGGTTGATAGATCCTCAGAGTCCAACACACCGCGTTGATTAGAGTCCGATTCATGGTTGTGTTGTGCACCACAACTATGAGTAGGAGGCTATGAGACGTTTTTGGAAATGTTTCCCTTCTCCATGTTCTAAGTCGTGCTGTAGAGTTGAATTAAGTTCTTCCCTAACGGTTGTTCTTTGCTTTGCTAGATCATGCCTAATACAAGAGGAAGACGAGCCCGCGCACCCGAGGAACAACCGACCAATGGGGATCTTCGGGATGCCCTTACTTTATTTGCACAAGCTATGGCTAATCAAGCCAACCACGGGGCCCAAACCCCTCAGGCTCCTACCCCGGCATCTCGGGTGAGAGACTTCGTGCGGATGAATCCCCCGGAATTCTATGGGTCTAAGTTAGATGAAGACCCTCAAGAGTTCATTGATGAAGTCCTCAAGATATTAGCTATCATGGGCGTGAAGTCAGAAGATAAGGCGGAGTTGGCGGCCTACCAACTAAAAGGGGTGGCCCAAATATGGTACAACCAATGGAAGGAAGAGAAGGGGGTAAACTATGTGGTGCATTGGGAAGAGTTCAAAACGGCTTTCCTTAATCGATTCTTTCCTCTTGAGCTTAGGGAAGCCAAATTGGTGGAGTTCATGAATTTAAAACAAGGGTCTATGAGTGTGAGGGAGTATGCCCTCAAGTTTAACCAACTTTCAAGGTATGCTCCACACTTGGTTGCCGACTCACGGTCTAGGATGAACAAATTCGTGATGGGTGTGTCCGACCTAGTGAGTGAAGAATGCCGGTCCGCAATGTTGATTAGTGACATGGACTTGTCCCGCTTGATGGTCTATGCCGAACAAATGGAGGAGGAGAAGTTGAGGAAGAGGAGGGGTCATGAGGCCAAGAGGGCCCGTTTTGAGGGCAAGTTCCAAAGTAGAACGGGAGGCCGGTTTCATCAAGGTCAAGGGTCTTCTCATGCGCTCCATAAGGGGTTTGCCAATGATGTTCCAAGGGCCCAAGGTGTTAGGGGTATGGGTCATATTGATGTATGTCCGAAGTGTGGTAAGGGCCATGGTGGCCCGTGCTTGAGAAATACCGGTGCTTGCTATAGTTGTGGGGAAATGGGGCACAAGGCAATGGATTGTCCTCGAAATGGAAACAAGGGTAAGGAGGTCCGTCCACAAGGTGCCAATGCGGTTCCTTTGGGGAGAGGGGGCCGACAAGATGGTGCCCCAAGGCACAATTGATTTTATGCTTTGCATGGGAGGCAATGGGTCGATGAAGTCCCCGACGTCGTTACCAGTATGTTGAAAATCTTTGACTTTGATGTATATGCATTAATTCATCCGGGTGCCTCTCTTTCGTTTGTCACCCCCTTTGTTGCCAAAAAGTTTCATGTTGAGCCCGACTTGTTGCGTGAGTCATATAAGGTGTCTACTCCTTTTGGTGCATATAGTGTTTCTAGGAATGTCTATAGAAATTGTCCTATTTGAATCTAGCATAAAATATTGCCTTGTGATCTTGTTGAGTTGAACATGGTCGATTTTGATGTTGTTCTTGGGATGGATTGGTTGCATGCATACTATGCTTCCATTGATTGTAGAACCCGTAGGGTCAAGTTCCAATTCCCAAGTGAACCCATTTTTGAGTGGGAAAGCCAAAATGTGGTAGTCAAGGGTAGGTTCATCTCATGCATTAAAGCCCATAAGTTGATCTCTAAGGGGTGTCTCTATCACTTTGTGAGGGTTAGAGATGTGGAGTCCAAAACCCTTCTTATAGAGTCGGTTCCGGTCGTAAATGAATTCCTTGATGTCTTTCCTAATGACCTTCCCGGTGTTCCTCTCGAAAGGGAAATAGATTTTGGCATAGACCTCCTCCCCGATACTCAACCCATTTTTATTCCCCCTTACCGTATAGCCCCGGCGGAGTTAAAAGAGTTGAAGGAACAATTGAAGGACTTGTTGGAGAAGGGTTTTATTAGGCCTAGCCAATCACCATGGGGTGCACCGGTGTTGTTTGTGAAGAAGAAAGATGGGTCCCTTAGGATGTGTATTGATTACCGGCAACTCAATAGGGTCACCGTCAAGAATAAATATCCTCTTCCTAGGATTGATGACTTGTTCGACCAATTGCAAGGGGCTAGCCACTTCTCTAAGATTGATCTTCGGTCCGGGTATCATCAAGTGAAGGTGAGGGAGTGTGACATTCCCAAGACAGCCTTCCGGACTAGGTATGGGCATTATGAATTTGTGGTCATGTCCTTTGGGTTGACCAATGCACCGGCTATCTTCATGGACCTAATGAATAGGGTCTTTAAACCCTACCTTGATTCCTTTGTTGTGGTCTTCATTGATGATATTTTAATCTATTCGCATAGCGAGGAAGAACATATGGGTCACTTGAGGGTTGTGTTGCAAAGATTGAGAGAGGAGAAGTTGTATGCCAAGTATGAAAAGTGTGAATTTTGGTTGAGGGAGGTTGCCTTCCTAGGTCATGTGGTGTCGGGGGGTGGTATTAAGGTAGACCCTAAGAAGACCGATGTGATTAGAAATTGGCCTAGGCCATTGACCCCGTCGGATATTAGGAGCTTCTTGGGCTTAGCGGGTTACTACCGGAGATTTGTGAATGGGTTTTCTTCTATTGCTTCTCCCATGACTAAGTTGACACAAAAGAAGGCTAAGTTTGAGTGGACCGACGAGTGTGAAAGGAGTTTTCAAACCTTGAAAGATAAACTTGTGTCCGCTCCTATATTGTCACTACCGGATGGGCTTGAGGGATTTGTTGTGTATTGTGATGCTTCTAGAGTTGGCTTGGGTTGTGTCCTAATGCAAAATGGTAAGGTGATAGCCTATGCGTCTAGACAACTCAAAGTGCATGAAAAGAACTATCCTACACATGATCTTGAATTAGCCGCAGTGGTGTTTGCTTTAAAGATTTGGCGTCATTACTTGTATGGGGTACATGTTGATGTGTTCACCGATCATAAGAGCCTCCAATATGTCTTCACCCAAAAAGATCTCAACTTGAGACAAAGAAGGTGGCTAGAATTTCTTAAAGATTATGATATGAGTGTGCATTATCATCCCGGTAAAGCTAATGTGGTGGCGGATGCTTTGAGTAGGGTGTCTATGGGTAGTCTAGCTCATGTTGATATTGGTGATAGGGAAATGGCTAGGGAGGTGCATCGGTTGGCTAGGTTGGGGGTTAGGTTGGAAGAGGTTGGTAATGGTGGTGTGGTCGTTGTTGATGGTGCTAGGTCTTCCTTGGTTGATGAGGTGATAGCAAAACAAGATCTTGACTCTTCCTTGTTAGAATTGAAGGCCTTGGTGAAAGAGGGCAAGGTGGAAGTTTTCTCCCAAGGGGGAGATGGTGCCCTTAGGTACCAAGGTAGGTTGTGTGTGCCTTGTGTTGATGGTTTGAGGGAGAAAATTCTTGAGGAGGCTCATAATTCTTCCTACTCCATTCACCCCGGTTCCACCAAAATGTATAGAGATTTGAGGGATGTGTATTGGTGGGGAGGCATGAAGAAGGACATTGCCAAATTCGTCTCCGGTTGTCATAGTTGTCAACAAGTCAAGGCCGAACATCAAAGGCCGGGTGGTCTAACCCAAGACATAGAGATTCCTACTTGGAAGTGGGAAGAAATTAATATGGATTTTGTAGTTGGTTTACCCAAGACTAGAAAAGGTTTTGGTTCTATTTGGGTGGTGGTTGATAGGATGACAAAATCGGCTCATTTTCTACCGGTAAAGACAACATATGGGGCGGAAGATTATGCAAGGTTATATATTCATGACTTGGTAAGGTTGCATGGGATTCCTCTATCCATCATATCGGACCGTGGTACTCAATTTACTTCACACTTTTGGAAGTCCTTTCAAAGGGGTCTAGGTACGAGAGTTAAGCTTACTACGGCCTTTCACCCGCAAACGGATGGACAAGCCGAAAGGACTATCCAAACACTTGAGGATATGCTTAGGGCTTGTGTATTGGAGCTTAAGGGTAGTTGGGAGGATCATCTTCCATTGATTGAGTTTTCCTATAACAATAGCTATCATTCTAGCATCGGTATGGCTCCTTTTGAGGCTCTCTATGGGAGGCGTTGTAGATCATCGGTTGGGTTGTTTGAGGTTGGTGAGGTGGCCTTGTTAGGACCAGATCTAGTTATGGAGGCTCTTGAGGAGGTTAGGATGATTAGAGAAAGGTTGAAGATGGCCCAAAGTCGCCGAAAGTCCTATGCCGATGTGAGGAGAAGGGCTCTTGAATTCCGAGTTGGTGATTGGGTCTATTTGAAGGTGTCACCCATGAAGGGTGTGGTTCGTTTTGGTAAGAAGGGCAAGTTGAGCCCTAGATACGTGGGTCCTTATAAGGTGATGAGGAGAATTGGCAAGGTAGCTTATGAGTTGGAATTGCCTAGTGAGATGGATTTGGTTCATCCGGTATTTCATGTGTCTATGTTGAGGAAGTGTGTGGGTGATCCGAATGCCATTGTGTCTCTTGATGTTGTGGGTGTTGTTGAAGATAATTTGACCTATGAAGAGGTTCCGGTCCAGATTTTAGATAGACAAGTGAAGAGGTTGAGAAACAAAGAGGTGGCTTCCGTTAAAGTCCTTTGGAGAAATCAACAAGTTGAAAGTGCTACTTGGGAGGCCGAAGCGGACATGCAAAGGCGATATCCTTATATTTTCCACTCCACTCAACCCTAAGGTATTGATCTAAGCCATTTATAAAATCTCAGGTCTTAAGTTCAGCCCCCATGTGATTGCATACATTCATGTTTAAGTTGACAAGTTCATTGTGGTTTTACAACTATGTTGAGGTTTTGAAATAAGAATGTAAGTGCATTGTTGCATCCTTATGTGGGCTGAAATTTCCATGTTTGTGTCTCTCATTTACGTTTCTTTAACATTCGGGGACGAATGTTCCCAAGGGGGAGATAGTGAAACGACCCCAAAAATTCCTGAAAATGTGCTTCAGAAACACCTATAATTGTAATTTCCATATATTTCAAAATCCATGCATGATTTCGGAAATTTGACTTCATATTATTTTACAGGGGGTCAAATTGAGTGGGAAATGGGTCTAACCCGAATTTTAGAGCAACCGTATCAAAATTCGAAAATCGCAAAAAATGTGATTTTGAGGGTCAACTTTGAAGGGGCATATATCTTAGCACACAAGAAACTGGAAGGGCCACAACCTATTAAATTAAAGCTCCTTGACTTAGCTTTCCAACTCACTTAGTTTCACCTCATTCCGAGTTAGGATGAGGGAGTTATGACCATTTTCGTAAAACCTGTCTGTGCAGAGTTGCAATTTCCAGAGAGTTTTTTTTTTAGCGGGTTGGGGACGTTTTTTATAAATGTCGCATACTTAGTAATTTTTTTTAACTTAAAAAACACTCTCTAAGCCCTCTCCAAAATTCCACCAAGATCCTCAACCAAATTCAAACATCTCAAGCTCTATTTTCGGATTCAAGACTCAATCTCAAGCTTCAATTCTCCATTCCAATCTTCATCAAGGATTCTCCAAAGTTGAGGTATGTGGATTTTGATTGTGGAAACCTTCCTTTCCACATGTCCAACCATTTATCCTCTATTTTTACTTCAAGTTTATGGGTCATTATGGTTACTTATGAACTCTTGAAGTATGGAATTACTACTACACACCCTAATATGGTCTATTTTGCATATTATCATGAAATGGAATTATTATGTGATGTTTATGGTTTTCATGCTTCCATGATCAAATTATGAAGGTTGATATATATATATGTATGTTGTTGGTGGGCTGATTTATATGGATTTTGGAATTGGTTTGGACTTAGTACTCTTGAAATACATGATTTTATTTACATGAACCGTAGCCCACCATGTTGTTTGTATAAAATGCCCACTTATAGAATTCTTAGGAAATAGATGGTCCAATGTACATCCTATGAGTCGGATGATTATATAATTATTGAAATGATGATGAAATGGACACATGTATATGATTTTCTCTATATAAGTGTTGTGAGTCGACCAAGCCTAGCTCGGGGGGTTGTAGGCCCGGGTAACCGTATCGAGGGGTTGGTACCTTGGTTGCCTAGTACGGGGGGTAGTAGGCCCGTATAACCATATCGAGGGGTTTGTACCTTGGTCCCTAGCTCGGGGGGTGGTAGGCCCGGGTAACCACATTGAGGGGTTTGTACCTCTTTCGCCTCTCCAAGGGGGTGGTAGGCCTTGGAAATACTATATTGATGGTCACTCACCACACATGTACTACGCCCCACTAAATATGATTTATTTTATGTAAGCATCATTATACATATCATCTCAAT